GTGTTCTTCAGCCAAAAGTGTTGAGAGTCTCTGCTATGGGTGCAAAGCTGTTGCTGGAATCTTAACACTGAAAGTAAATAACAAGAGGCCCTGCCTCAACGATCCATATCACTGTAAGAAAGTATTAATAATCTTAAAATACATAAGAGCTGCAGCAGCAGCAAAACAATAAGGAAATTATAAAATTGTAGTAATAAGAAAAATGCTCAGAAAATAAGTAACATGTATAAATCTGATGTGAGAGCGAGATCTTTGCATTCCAGAATGAGTGGTTCCAGTATAAATTGAGAATATACCTGAGAACATCTAATGCCATAGCAGAAGATAGGGGAGGGCTCTCTGTCTTTATACAGATTGCTGGCTGTATTATTAGTGGCACTGAGTGGTTCACTCACCATATGCCCCCCCATATCACCAGCCAGGAGCCACAGAAGCTAACATGTTAACCATCCCTAACTTTGACAAATGTATTGTAGCATTAACTTTTGTGAGCTATAGCTCACTTAATCAGATGCATTAAGTGTTATTTTGGGTTATACATTTCTGGATATGTACACACCTCTAGACTTTTGGGGGGGATTGTAAACAGCAATGTCAGAGGACAAGAAAGTACAGAAAACACAAGCTGTTGGAGTTCAGAAAAGCTATTGTTAGGTAAAAACACTAGTATTCTAGCACTGCACTTAATAGAACATAAGCAAAAAAACAAAGACACCCACTGCTGTCTTCTTCCTAGCCATAGGCAATATAACTATATTGCTTGACTGGTATGGTTCACCCATTGCAATATATATCTTATTTTTTATTTACACAGTTATACAGAAGGCAAATACAAATAAGAACAATAAAAAAGTGCGGGGAGAGAACACCCATAGTAAAATATCCCCTATTTGGTCTCTCATGTCCTGAATTAACCAGTCATCATCATCTCAACAGATCTCTCCACAGAGCTCCATGTAGAGGGATGAACCTCCATCCAGATGGAGCACCTTCCCGATCCACATAGAGCAATGTGTCTATCAGTTCTCTTTTGTTCAAGACTGGCTGCCTTAAGATCATCACTGAGCTTCATTGTCCAAGGAAGCTGACATTATTATTCACTGGGTTTTGAACACTATAATTTCCAGTGCTAGATTTGTATCCATTTAATATGTTGTATAGAATGCAGCCTTTCTTTCCTATCCAGAATGCAGTAGGGCATTGCTGGCAAATACTGCAATGGCATTTTCGCAAAGTAACAAACTGATGCTTACTCCCTAGTGTGGGCAACTGGTGATGGTTAGGATTGGGTCGAGATGTCCACTTGCCATGCTTTGCTGTCACAGAGGTCACTGTTGCATCTGTAGAGAGCTCTGCAAATGGAAAGCCACTGCTGGAAGTAGCTGGTGCAACATTCTGAAGCAAAGTGCCTCAGGTTCAAATTATACATTACAGATAGCAATCATTAGAGGATAGTTCCAGAGGTGATTCAGATAAACCCTTATGACTTGAGCAATCATACTTCCAATCACAATACAAACAAGCTAATTTACAAACAATTTAAGCTATGTTTATATCTGACCTGAGAAACAACAGTTTTCAGAAACCAATGGGAGAATACTTCATTTTCCCAAATACTTTGCCTCTGTCCTCAGGATGGCCATCCTCTGTCCTTCAAGGACAGATTCTCAAGGGAAGCATATGAACAAAAAAAATGAGCCTCGTGGCGCAGTGGTTAAAATGCTGTACTGCAGCTAAAACTGTGCTCACGACCTGGGGTTCAAATCCCAGGTAGCCGGCTCAAGGTTGACTCAGCCTTCTATCCTTCCGAGGTCGGTAAAATGAGTACCCAGCTTGCTGGGGGGGGGGCAATGTGTAGCCTGTATAATTAAAATTGTAAACCGCCCGGAGAGTGCTTGTAGCGCTATGGGGTGGTATATAAGTCCAATAAATAAGTAAATTAATTAAATAAAATAAAACAAGAATATGCTGAAAGGTTAAACTGTTTTTCCCTTGGTTTGAACAGAGAGATAAAATTTTATCTTTCTACATACAGTATATTGATCACATATGTGGGTTTGTTTGTATTGCAACAAATGTTGTATAACTTGTGATTACTTCTTCATTTGTAATTTTTGCACTCCTTTTCTCATCAGCCCCTCTAATTTTCTCTTGCACCATCTCTGTTAGATTCGGCAAAGGCCCATACAATGTACTCTATGCTCTTCAACACATACCATGGGAGACTTAATGTTAGCTGCCCCAAATGCTCTTGATGTTGGTCTGTTGTTGGCCAAAAATTTTCTGATGTATTAATTGCATTGTAGTGCTTCTAACAGGAACAAAGGCCACACAGGTATTGCTCTTCTATTAATGTTCGGATGCAATTGCCACACGCCAGTCACATTCTGATGACTCTTAATGACCACATTAAGGTTTAGTTCCACATCTATAATTAAGATAAACCTCCCTGATAGATGCCTGTCACCTCCCAATTAAGGACAAATTATAAGACCATCATAATGCTGAAACTTTTGCATTTTCATTACATTTCAGTAGTATAAAATAAAAATAAATACTACTAATACTACATTACAATTAATTTATTCTGCATGCTATTATAAATGTCTATTTTATACATGTCTACTGAGGCCACACTGTGCATCTGAAGAAGTGTGTTGGAGTGGACAAAAAGTTGTACCATATAAATCTTGTTAGTTTTTAACAGGCCATAAAACTCTTCTATTGGTTTTGTTATTAACCCTTTCAAAAATATAAGCTATATTTCTGCGAAACTTGGAATATAAGGCTATGTTGAACAATCTATTTGGGAGCATTCCATGGGAGTTATAATGAGATACTACTAGAACATTCTAATTAAGCCACTGAGGGCCAAGAGCAATACTCAAATGTATCCCATCTCATTGTACAATATTCTTTTCCCCCTTGTAATAAAAATAATAACATAGCTTCTGGCACTCCTAAAGGGAACGAAATAAAAAGAATCTAATTTGAGAGCAAAAACTTTGCTTGAAGTATGCATTCAAGTACAATGAAGTTATTTACTAATCAATATCTTTTAAATCATGGTCTATTGTGTATTCTGTTTAGCTCTGGCTACAGGCTTTATTACCACTAAATAGCTTTTCTAGCAGATATAGGCAGAACAATGCATGTTCTGCATGTCTCTAGGTCACGACCTGGACACAACAAGTTACATGAGACATAGTTACCTGTAGCGCTTTACTTTGGGGACCAATGATAATGTAGGGGAGTTACAAGTCAAAGCTAATGTAACAAAGTTACATTATTGGTATAATGAGCAACATTTTCTTTTTACTTCCTGACCTCTCCTGAAATCCTCCCTTAAGTTATATTGCATAAGGCCAAGGACACTATCAGTTGTGGCAATTGTTCAGAAATAAAACATTTCTGATTTGCTCCCTGAAAGTCTTCAGGCTCCCAGAGGAAGCCATTGAAGTCACAGGATAGGAGGAGCCTTTCAGTTCCAGAAATTACCACCAGCAACAAAGTCATCCCAGCAACCGTGATTTTCCAGAAATTAAAGCCTTCCCTTGCCCTGCAGCCCTCAATGGCTTCACGATGAAAGAGACTGCATGGGAACCTCAAGACTTTAAGGGGGGAAAACTGGAAGTGTTTTATGTATTTGCAAAGAGTGCTGTCCTCTGAAGATGCTGGCCACAGAGACTGGCGAAACGTTAGGAAGAAGAACCTTCAGAACACGGCCAAAGAGCCCCAAAAACCCACAACAACCATTGGAAGTGTTTTATTTCCAAAAAATTGCCACAGCTGAAGACATTATCCATCTTACATGGCTTAATGTACAGAAAAATTTTTCAGCCATTATATTTTAAGGCATTTTGATAGGAATTCTAATAAAAAAATGGCTGCTTTTTCAAATGGCAACTCAAAGTAATGATAAGGTGGCAAACACTGTAACAAATAACACCAGTTATTTTTCGACATTGTGTTGCTTTCCAAACACTGCCATAAGCAACTTTCCAAACTGGGCTCTACATTTGCAACTGAACTAGTCTATTTCATGTGGGACATGGTGGCGCTGCGGGTTGAACCACAGAAGCTTCTGTGCTGCAAGGTCAGAAGACCAGGAGTCGTAAGATTGGATCCACGCAACAGACTGAGCTCTCATCGCTTGTCCCAGCTCCTGCCAACCTAGCAGTTTGAAAGCATGTAAAAATATGAGTAGATAAATAGGCACCACCACGGTGGGAACGTAACGGCGTTCCGTGTCTAGTCGCACTGGCCACGTGACCACAGAAACTGTCTATGGCTTAGAAATGGGAATAAGCACCGCACCCTAGAGTCGGACACGACTGGACTAAATATCAAGGGGAACCTTTACCTTTACCTAGTCTTTTTCATATTGACATGAACACCTTAAAAAGATATCTCCTCTTGCCGATAAAAATATGACTTTTTACTCTTAGGAACAATCTATCTTCTTCGTATGAATTGTCTTATGTACTAAGCTCTTCCACTGATGCCCTCCACTGAGCCCTACTACTACTACCAGTGGTGAGATGGGCCTACACCTTCTCTAGGACCTAGTCTATCATCAAGTGTCTCTTTGACGCTACCCAATTTCTCCTCCCTCAGATAGGGTGCAGAGTTGCGAGAGGCCATTTCTGCACAGCTGCAGTCCATGAAGGCACATAAATTGATTTTATTGCTTTGGAATAGGTTGCCCTTCCCAGCACCACCAGCCAACACAGAACGGATTTGGCGGGACTGGCTAGGGATAAGGCGGGGATGAGAAAAAGGTGTTGGGGAGAGATGACTGGAGCCTTCCCCCTCCAAGGCTCATCGGTTTCGGGGGAACAATATGCAGTTCGACGCAGCACCAACCACGCCATTAAAGCACCGTAAAACTGCCCAGCACAAATCTCCACCGCAGCCTCTTGAAGGAAGTCTTCCGCCAGGACTCGAGGCCGAACGGTGTCACTGCGCCTGCGTGGCAGCTCTGCCATCCTCCCAGGTTCCCTAGCGCGACTGACATGGCGGCTCCCAGGGGCTGCTGATTGCACATGGGTTGGGGCTGGTAGTGAGCTTGACACGCGTCAGGGAAACCGTGGTTGCCGTCTTATTTTTTTCCCCCCAATCATCCTTTCCCTTCTCCGTTCCGTTTCAGCCGGCTGAGACTGAGCGAGCTGCGCCCGCCCCGGGAAGATGCGAGCCCTGGAGCGGGTGTTGCTGCGGGGCTTCCCCAGCGCTGCGGAATCGCCGCGGTGGAAACAGAACGAGGCGGCTTCGGCTGCGGGTAAGGCTCAGCCCAGCCCGATCGCCCAGTCCAACCCAGCTGGACCGGGTTATGGTCTAGGTAGGGCTGCAAGTAGTTAAGCAGAGCCAGGCTGGGTTGCTTGCCTGGACGGTGTGGTGCCCACTACCTCATGCTCACCTGGTCTCTCGCAACCTCCGAGCAATGGGAAGGGGCATTTACCCCTTTCCAAGTAATGACAGAGCAAAGAAAGGGAAGGAGCCAGCGCTTCGTTTGTCGGCTGAGCTCTCATCGTTCGTTGTTTCCTTCCTGCTCTCTCTTTCTTCCTCGTGTGCTGTCTGATACATTTCCTTTTCTGACGGAGACGGAGGAGGGATGTATCTGTGCCTCCCCGAGGGTACTGACGAAACCATATGTGAAGTGTCCTTTCAGGGCATCTACTGTGTCCCTGACATCTCCATGAGGAGAGTGTAGGGTCTGGTTGTTAATGAGAGCTTATCTGAGCTAAGCAGCATCCAGGGGCAACCTGGGCTCATCCTGGGTGGGTACAGACAAGGAAAGGTTCAGTCAAAAAGCACAATGTGTGTGAAGCTGTCAGTTCTGTATTTTCTTGCTTTGCATTGTTGCTTTCCTTTATGTACAGGATTCACTGAGGGAGTTGAGTTTAATCCAAGATAGTCAGTAGCTACCAGTGCCATTTCTTGATCACCCTCTCCTGGCACAAAGAAAATGTAAATGTCATGCACCAGAATGTCAGTAATTAATATGATTCCCCCCCTCCCCAATTGATTCTGATCTTGTTTAAATTAAAATTACATGTGTAATTTTTTTTGCACTTTCTACCTCAGAAACAGTAGTGGATAAGATCCTTGGAGTTAAATCTTTAGCAGTTCTTTTCTCCACAGTTTTTTAAAAATAATAAATTATGAAAAACAATGAGATTGTTAATCAGAACTGTAATACATTATAAGAGGTCTCATGCTAGGTGCCAACATGGCAAATGGGTTTTATTTTTAATTTCAAATATGACTAGCTCATGATATTCTTTTTAGAAAAGTGATAAAGGTTGGTTACAGTTCTGAAACAGCAAATTTTACTTCCATTGAGAACTTTGGGCCAAATGCAAATGACAAAGCAGTATCTGAATTTTTCTATTATGTAGAAGTAATAATTGAAGTGCACTGATGCAGTTGATGCATGTGAAGATTCTAGGTTATAAAAGAAGCCTTACGACTTAATAAAGAATAGAAGGAGTCATTGAAACAATCTTGTGAAGAACATCCAAGAGCAAATAATATAATGTACTGTTCAGTACCCTTGAAACTTGGCCCTTGACCAGCATATAAATCCCTTCAGCAGTTTCACAGTGTCAAAAATTATCTAAACTATAGACCTCTTAAGAATTTCAACTTTGATATATTTTATTTTAGAAAGTGGGTCCTTGTTGCAGTTACTGCTGGAAGGAAATTATAAGGCCATCTTACTGAGCAAAGCAGTCCAGAATGTCTTCACAACACCTGCAGGAACAGAAGAGGGAACCATTGACAGCTACTTACAAAACCAGATTCAAGTTTATTTAGACTGTACTTCTGCAGATATTGATTCTATGGAGAGGTAAACATATATTTATTAGAAAAGTAGATATTGTTACCTTCTAATATTTGACAGCAACTAAACATGTAGCAGGTTTCTGAATGCTTAAAAATGTATTTCTAATGACCTTTCGTAAAAAATATAACATGATTTATTTAATGTATTAATTGAATGGACTTTTCACAGTCCCATTCATTTCAAAATGTTGCGTTCTTCTCACTGGTTTTATATAATGAGAAGTTAGCTCCTGTGGGTTGATATGTACTCTCCTTTACCTGTGTATTCTAATAAAGACAATTTTTGTTGTTAAAAGTTTGCTTCAGAGGATGGCTAAAGATCCTAGCATAAGCAAGAAGGAGATGCAGAGAGGACTATATTTGCTTTAATAGCACAGGTGGGAAGCCATTCCTCCACCGCTACTCCCACACCTAGTAGTCTCTAACTCTCATGAGAGTTTTTGAAAGGGGGCTGCAGTGAGGCAGAAAGAATAGAGCGGCTGCATCCAATGATATATTGGAGAGCTATCAGACAAGAAGTTCCATCTATAAACTTTACCAACTACTGATGTTAATGTTTTTGGCATTATGTCTTGTAGATTCTCAAAGTTTGCATTGTCTCACATGTACTGCAAATAACTAACAGGTATCGGAACAAAAGTTATTTCCTACTGTGCCTCCTATCAATAGAGTCAGCCTGTGTAGCCTTAAGCAAGCTGCACAGTCCCGGGATGCCCCCAGAAGGGAATGGTAAACCACTTCTGAGTATATCTCACTTTGAAAACACTATTAGGATCACTATGTTGGTTCCAACTTGACAACACATAACAACAACAACAAATAATTTTGACTTGAGATACCTCAAGTGAAGAAATGCTTGGAAAAGAATAGAGGAAAAAATTATTCAGATATCTGTTTATTTGTGTAGATTTCTACTTTCCTCTAAGTCACATGGTAAGGTTTCCCTTTTTTAAAGCTAAAGTCTTCTACGATTTTACGGTTTTAAAAGCTCATATAGCCGGCTAGAGTGGTCCATTGGTCCAGATAGGCGGGGTACAAATCAAATCAAATCAAATCAAATCAAATCAAATCAAATCAAATAAATAAATAAATAAATAAATATGGATTTCTACAGAGTATGCATTTATAGCTTTTGAACAATGTTGACAACAATGGGTCCCCACATTGTTTTATTTTGCAGACAGAGTGTGGTGTTTCTACTTGGTGTGGGGAGCTTGCAGTTGTTTGTTCAAAGCAATTGGACTGGGCCTCCTGTTGACTTACAACCTGAAGACTTCCTGCCTTCTGAATTGGTTAAAAAATGCAATAAGGTACACTCCCCCAACCCCAGTCCCATGTTTGACAAATGTTGTCCCTATTATTAGAGATATGGGAAGTGGGGTGTATTAGATGTAGTGATTAGGAGTCAGGAGACTGAGGATCAAATCCCCTCTTGGCCATGGAAAGTCAATGTGTAATATGACAAAAGTAATATGAGTAATAACTTTCCCCAAAAAGTACCGTATTTGCTAGCGTGCAAGACGACTGGGTAGACATGGTCTAGAGGGGCGGGGTGTAAATTTAATTAAAAAAATTAATAAATAAGACCCCCACACACACATTTCCACTTAAAATATAGAGTGGACGGCTCTGCTGCAGCGCTGGCAGCGGCTTCCTGGGGCTCTGCCCATGCCCACCCTGGAAGTTTATGGCCGGCAAGGAGGAGGGCGAGGAGGAAGGGAAGTGGCCGGGTGGGTGGCAGCAGCGGAGGAGGAGGTGGAGGCGGAGGGGAAGCGGCT